AACGAGGAGAAAACTTGCACAAAATGTACTTCTCTTGCGGCGCCCGCTCGTAAGTAGGCGGTTTTCATCTAAAGTTTCAGATGGGAACATTTTTTCATTGATCTGCTCTCTGAGTAAATGTTCACCTTTTGCCTGAATAATGTTGACCTACTGCCTGAGTAATGTTGACCTACGGTCTGAGCAATGTTGACCTACTGCCTGAGTAAGGTTGACCTACGGTCTGAGCAATGTTGACCTACGGTCTAAGCAATGTTGACCTACGGTTTGAGTAATGTTGACCTACGGTCTGAGCAATGTTGACCTACGGTCTGAGTAAGGTTGACCTACTGCCTGAGTAATGTTTACCTACGGTCTGAGTAAGGTTGACCTACGATCTGAGCAATGTTGACCTACGGCCTGAGTAATATTGACCTTCCGTCTGGGTAAGGTTGACCGTCTTCGTAATGTTGATCTCCTCCCTGAGTTGAGTCTATTATCTTAACCTGACTTGTGTCAAGACATATAGTGCATACACCGACACAGTTGATACCTCATGAGAATGCTGATCAGAAGTATTGATTTGCATTTCCAGATAGCGCGCAATTTTGCTTTCGTTTCTCTTCTTTGTTCGTCGTTTTGAGCAACGTCCCGTGTTCTTTATAGTCTTCACATTTCCAGTTGACAAGCTGGCTGCATACTGAGATTACTTTGACACTGACTGGCGCTTGACCTTGTACATCTACATTTGGTTAATCCAGTCTTCCTGTGAAATCTGAAATTTATTGATATTTATTTGTCGTTGTTTTATTTTTGTATAACAAAAACCCATGACATATTATATGTTCATTAGGGCCTACTGATAATTTGTTATCTGTAAATGACTAAATAAATAATATTTCATTTATAGTCAAACCACTCTCTTCTGTGTTATTTTAATATTTATGGAAAGGGTTGAAGATTTTGGTATTTTAAACCAGAAAGGGATAAACATCCAAAATAAAATATTTCACTTTTTAAGGGAAAACCAAAAGGAAAACGCTGGTACAGGTACCCGTGACAACAGTGATGAGAGTCAAAGAAAATTAGCCTAATACTTTGATAGATGTATGTTGAATGAAAATGATAGGCTTCTAAATTGCTACTGTGATGGTACAATCCCCCCTATTTAAACATACATTAAATGCAAATGTTAACATTTATCCCATCGCATCCTCTGCGTAAATAATCCATATGCAAACAAGCAGGCGATGTCAAACATGACTCAAACGGGGACTCGACGCTGTATGTCTTTACTACACATATGTTATGTTTATGTTTAGTATGGGGGGGGGGGGGAGCATTACCATCTTCCAAAACCACAACCCACACCTTCCAAAATTTTCACTTGCTTTTAACCAGATATGTCTTTGAGTCTAACTAATGTCACAATTCTCTACTCTGGAAATTTTGGAACGGAATATCATCATTCAGTTGACTTCCAGTATGGAGAAGCTTGTCATTCAAGACACACAAATACCGCCGGGAAGTAGTGGAGGGTGTGCAGCAAAAATATGTTTCGGGGTGGACAATGGCTGACAGCCGTGGTTGCACGTGACTTAATATATTCTAACCGTTAATTTTATTAAGTATTCAGCATTTGGCTTTAACACGTGAACAGGGTCCCATGACAGCCCAAAATCCAGTGATTTGAAATAACTAGTGGGCTTGTATTATTATACATCCATCTGCGAAGCGAATGATTCGCATAGTGAAATTCTTTACAGTATTACACGCCTACAAGTATAAAATAGCAGCACCTTAATAGATGTAATACCAACGTCATACTACATGTATACTTACTTCTATGAAATGTACCAGGATTCATGAATGCTGTGCCCGAAGTCGGTCTTCTACCAGCCAACCATATACCAGGGAAGATATTTCTGAGATTTGTATACAGATTAGATCAAAACACAGATACATGTAGTCCAAGGTTTACCTCAGTGGTCGAGAGATGGTGTTTTGACTTCTTCAGTGTTTTTGTATCGACCTGCCACAAATCTTACAATTCTAGGCGAAAATCGGGGAAAATCAGTGTCATTACAAGAAAACGGGATAAATCTCGCTGGCCACCTTGGTCACGTTGACCTGTCACTGAAAGCGTCCAATATCCACTTTCTCCAGCACAGCTACAGCGCGACTAAGATCTTAATTACACCACGTGATCTTTTGCTAGCCACAAGCGTCTATGTTCAGTGACAATAAATCACGCGTGAGCACGAAGAGGTGCAGTGGAGTCCCTTACACGCGTCTCCAACCACAGACAAGAAAAAAACGTTGAATTCATTATGTGGTACAATTGGTGTCACGTGCAAGAGAGTCCCTGTAATACAGGCCCTGTTCACATTGATTTGAACAAGTTAAGCGTTGTCCTAGTTTTCAGATAGTTTGACCCACTTACGTCACGCTAACCATAACCTGTACGGATCTAATGGACCCTCATTTTTTTCTTTTTTGTTTTTATCACTTAAATATAGTGTAGTACACATTGGGCGGATACAGTGCCTGGGTATTCCCTGGTACATAGAGGTGCAATCAATTTCTTGGGTCTGATTGATATTTTTTCATGGTAGATTGGATTTTTTTTTCAAAAATATTCCTGTTTTAGGCTTCAGCTTTTTCGTCTCTTTTATTTTATCTTATTTCATTCTGGATATATAAGTCATTTAATAATCATTTTCTGATTGATAATTAAATGAATTTATTTGGTAATACAAACAAGTCATCTCTTGGTCACAAATCCATATCAAGGATCACATCCACACAATTGAATAGTAAAATGAGTTAAAATCATAAAATATAGGTGCACACAGGTGTTGTGTTGTTGATATCTTAAAATCCAAGTTTTCGATGGCTGTCATTTTTTATTGCCAACAGTTTTGCAATAACTCAAAGAGTAACGCAATATCTGTATCATGCTGGTATACATACATTGTGGAAGTGAATCAGCCCCATGCACTCAGCCTAATAAGTTTTCAAAACATCTATAATGGCCACCGCAATTACTAGGATAAACGGCGAGAAATCCACTGCTATCACTATAACGATTGCTAGATATCTTACTGCTGGGTATGACACGCTGTACGGAATTATCCAAGCAAACACTATGTTGATGACAATTACGCCCAATATCAGAACAATCCGCGAAATAAAAGACCAGTTCACCCTTGACCTTGACGTTAGCCTTTCTCGATGCAGCGACATCTCGACGTCACCGGTGCTTGCTGAGAATTCCATTGCTTTTGTTTTGGTTTGGAGAGTGACGTCAGTGAGAGTGACGTTTTACATGGTGATGTCACAGTTCAATGCTCCGCTGCCACTCGAATGGTTCTATGAGGACAAAATACAACAGAGTTTTATTTACTCCTTGACAGAGAGTTTAATTGTAGATCACTAATCGTTATTGGTTTGTAGAAGACTGATCGAAAATGTAGACGCTATGATTACAATTAATTAAGCATTTAATTAATTAATTAAATTTAATTTATTCAAACTTTTTTATCCGGAAGTTTATATATTTAACGACGTCGCCAAAGAACTCCCCCCCCCCTCCAAATATCTTTTCAAAGACAACATTAAAAATCGTGAAGATATCTTCCTGCTCCAACAAACTCAAATCTTAACAAGGTGAAATGCAAATTACAAGCTGAGCAATGATTTATGTATGAATAAATACTGGATAGCTTCCTAGTCACACGTTAAACTGTGAGGTTATTTAGAGCATGGTACATTAAAATGCGTCTCTACTTGATAATATGACATGTTAAACAGGCACAGGGAGTTTTGCACAAAAATGTTAACTTTCCTCATAAGTTTACCTCTTTCTCACGAGTGTATAATCCACCTACATTAGTTCTAGAAGCAGCCTAAGCCATTCAGACCTCCTTTAGTTTTCCTGCTATTACAAAAGGAAATATCGACTACGCATTTTTATTTGAGAGAATTTACCGTTTTCAAGGTTTAAATTGGTAAAAATAAGCACAATGAAACTTTAGAGGACATTCAAATAAAAATGTGACATTCAGACAGTTTCAAATGCGCATAAGACACTTTTAATACGAATACACGAAAAAACGTCCTACACTCCCTTCCTGGACAGTTCCTTCCTTCTTGCACTTTACTTTTTTCGATTTTTTTGGTGCCGGGATAACCTTATCGAATTCCTTTGCGTCCTTGCTAGCTTGTCATACTACCGCAAAATATGTTGTTTTGAACACAACACATACACGACCCAGACCGAGGAACAGAGAGAGAGAGAGAGAGAGAGAGAGGGAGAGAGAGAAAGAGAGAGAGAGCCTGTGGGAGCGAATGTGGCTATTAAAGAAATGTACACATAGCCTACTTCTGTTCATGATAACTGAACCTACATTTGTTACCAAGTGCCCGTGCCCTCGAAAAGGTTATCTCATGTAAATCCTCCGTAGTACGACCTTCAGCGCGTCCCCTGTCAACTATCACTTCTTAATGCATGGATCTGTACTTAACAAACTGCTGGGCACGTATGCCGGTACTCTATGGTGCACGTGTTTTGAAATAAGGAATACTTGGTACTTTATGGTCAAGTGGAAGCAGTTATCCTTTATAATCCCAATAGTTTCAATTTGGATTTATGTACAGAGAGGAAAATCGCAAAGAAAGACGGAAGGTACATGTAATTTAGGGGCTATAATAATAATAATAATAATAATAATAATAATAATAATAATAATAATAATAATAATAAATAAATAAATAAATAAAAATAATGTTGCAAACAATTTTTCGTTAGTGCGTAGACTCTTTCGCAATGATAATCAAATGCGCAATAATTTATTTACGTAACCAGTATAACCCTGACTATAACCTAGTTTGATATAGCCACGGGTTATGGGGTCTCCCTATCGGTCACATATTTACAGGGGTCATAAAGAACCTTAGTTATAGCGAGTACAGTCGCTGAAAAGATACGCTCGGTTAACATCTAGTTCATTGAGGGGCGGTGTATGGACTGTATACCCACGTATCTCTCTAGCAATATGATGCCGTACCCATTGTATGTAGTAGTATGGGTGGCACTGCTGCACGGGAGAAGCGCCTGCCTCGGTGCTAAGATATTCATGTTGCCGTACACGCAGGTGTTCAACTCCCGGACGCTGAACATGGAGAAAATCGCCCGTCTTCTCACTGACCGCGGTCACTCGGTCACAATGATGGTGGCTGACCACTACAAACCACGGACAAACATCGACGGCGTGTCGCTGGTCAGATTTGAGACACCCAAGCTGGAGGTGAACAAAGCGGGGGAGCTGGCCTTGGATACGACCATGAGCTCTGTTTACGAGGGTCTCGAGAAGATGATGGCGGCAATGGACGAGATGGAAGAAGCTTTCTGCCATTTTTTATTAAGAAACGAAACCAGGTTGCAAGAATTGAAAGCGACCAATTTTTCTTTGTTTCTCTTTGACTTGGTCAATTTGGGATCTGGTCCCGTACTAAACGACTTTTTAGAAATCCCGTCCATAGCATACTCCAATTTAGGATTCTGGGACCCGTGGCACGTGTTTCGCCAGCCGGTGTTTAAGTCCTTCACACCGGCCATTCCCGGGGGCTACTCCGACCACATGACGTTTTGGGAAAGACTCCACAATGTCGACATAGAAAACGAAGTCAATGATTGGTTAGACAAGAAAATAGAGCGCACGGATGCCATGGTGTTGGAGTATTTTCCAAAGAAACCTTGGCCCCCTATGAAGAGAGCATTTGAAAGAGTTTCTCTGATGATTGCCGCCAATGTCGACTTCGCTCTGGATTATCCCAGACCCGTGATGCCTCACGTTAAACCAATCTCTGGACTTCTTTGGACACCACCCAAACCTCTGCCGAAGTTTTACCAAGACTTAATGGCGTCTGGGCGTCATGGCGTTGTCGTGATGAGTTTCGGTACCTTAGTAGCAGAACTGACCGAGGGGATGGCGGAGGGCATCGCAAAAGTGTTCGCCAGACTACCTCAAACTGTCATCTGGAGATACAAGGGACCTGTTCCGAAGTCTCTTGGGAAAAACACGCACTTGGTCGATTGGTTTCCACAAAACGACATTCTTTCACATCCTGCCACGAAACTCTTCATCACCCACTGTGGGATCAGTAGCACGTGGGAAACTCTGTACCACGCCGTCCCCGTTGTGGCTGTCCCGTTAATTTGGGATCAGCATCAGAACGCCAGAAAACTCACAGACAGGTGCAACATTGGAGTATCCCTCAGCTTTTTAACATTCACTGAGGCAGACTTCGAGAGCGCCATACAAACAGTTCTTAACAACAGGACATACAAGGACAACGCCGTTAAAATGTCCGAGCTTTTAAAGGACCAACCCATGTCGGGGCAAGACCAATTGCTGTTTTGGATAAACTATGTTATACGTCACAATGGGACTCTTCATTTTCACTCCCAAGCTTCCTACAATCTTAACTGGTGCCAGTACTTCTTAGTTGACATTATTGCCTACAAGATAGCAGTTAAATGTTTACACTACATCTTTGTGTTAGTTTGTGCTATTATGTTTTGGAAATTGCTAAAATACACATGGTTTTTATATTCTAAACAGAAGAAAAAAACAGTCTGACATAAATACTGCATATATTTTATTCCACGAATTTAATTCGTTTGATGGCACATACAAAAATATACACTTTCCCAAAAATAGCATAGCAAATTTAGCTCATTGGCTTAACTGAATATATATATATTATATATATATCAAAGAACATCAATTTGTTTTAACAAGTAGAAAATTTATTGGCATATGCCGAACTATTCTATCATGACAATTAATCCAAAATTTAAACTAATTTGCATCTTTTGATAATCCATATAAAGGCATTCTCTCTCAAACATATCTTGAACCAGCCCAAGTCAAAGGCACACAATAACATTTATAGTTTTTTACAAAAAATAAATCTGATGCATAATTATGTAAATGCCACTCAATTTCAGTCATTTAAATCTGACAATCTCTGGCAAAAATGATCAATTATATTGGTTTTTTATTGAAATTGTATTATTTTGTTTCTTCTTTTTTGCTGTCAAATACTGGATAAATCACTTATGCACTTCTTTGAAAACTAGTCAACTTCCTAATCTGCATGGAGAGCTATGGCACGTTCCGTCAAACGATCTGTCATTGGTGCATTTTCTTTCAGACATTTTCTCTCTGCCAACAGACACCTTAAAAGAAGTGACATCTCAAGGAAATAAGACATCAAAAAATTTACAGTGAGGATGCCAGTTACACATCAGGGTGATCAGAATTTTACATCTAATTAAGAGATAAGAGATCTTTGTAAAAATGTTGGGAGGCCCAAATTTACCTTTGAATTATTGAATTATGAATACATGTACTTGTCACTTTTTCATCATACAATTATACATGGACCATATTTGTAATATTTTCCTTTTACAATATTTTTAACTTCTCTAAATTTAGGTAACATAAGTTAAACAGTTGAGTGTTTTCTCTCTCACTCCCCCCTCCTCCTCCTCTCTCTCTTGAAATGTCTGTGGAGATACTCCAGTAACAGCATGTTTCATATCCCTTTCTTACCTTGCCAACTTATGGTGCATCTTGTCCTCTGACTTCAGTGCTGCATTGATCAGGAATAGATTGAAAACATCTCTCTGGAAGATAACAAAGGTCATGGGGTCAAAGAGAGGTCACAGGTCAAGAAAGGTGAAAGGTCAATTGTTGCTTGTTAAAGGTTTTTAAAGCATGCTAAAAACTGACTTATAACCAACATTTCTTTTTAAATGTGCATTCACATTCATAATATGTAATTATATTTCATTTTGTCATGCTTACTTTGTAATGCTAGTTGTCAATCTTATTGTCTTTTAAGGTACTATTTATCATATAGAATGTTAAAGGAATATGCCATGTATTAGAGTTTTTATCAATATTTAAAGAGATGCACAGATGCATTCATCTGAAGGTGGAGACTGTGCATAAATGACTTATACAACAATTGCACTGGAAACATTACTATTTCCATATTGTTATTTTTTATAGTTATTTTTACTAATAATTTTTGTGCTCTCAGAGAACTTTTATAGTTGTTATTACTATCCTTCTCACCTGTGCATTGCTTCCCCCTATGCTAAGAACTTTGTACCTCAGCGGGTTTAGAAGGTTCACGGCCCGAGCAAAATCTCCAGAATCATAAGCTTCAAATGCTTCACAAAGTGGCAGACCTACCTCAGCCGTGACATCTCTGTTGGTGCCTTTACCATTTCTGAAAATATAATAGATTCAATATTTATCTTCAACCAAGTCAAACAAAGATGATGCAAGTCTTGGTCTTATACATTTATCCTTTTATCTATTCATTTATTTACTTATTTTATCTTTTTTTTTACTGCAAATTTTGGTAATTTGAAGCCACTGGGTGCAATCTGCATTTCTGTAAATATATTTTAATTTCATCAATATTTCAACCAAATCAGATACTGGCAAAGAAATTTTGTTCTTGGACCTGATAATTATTAATTTGAAATTAATTCTAGTATTTATCTATCTTTTCAATACTTTCCATTTCTTTTTACAGATGATTTATATAATTTTAGTTACTTTAAAAAATTGAATAAATGATATGACCAACTCTGGTATATTCAGACAGGCCTTGCTTTAAAAAGTCCTTCAAGCCGGAGAAATTTGAAACATCCAAAATCTCCTGTAACTTAGAACAAACTGAAACACAAAATTAACTGGAACTTATTTGAAATCATATGAAATGACAGAAACTTCTTTTCTATAAAATCTTATTTTTATATCTTATTTTTATTTTGTAAATGATTTTGGTAGAGTAAATTCTATCCAATGAAGGAAAATTATTTGATTAAAAAGTTCTGGCCATGGATCCAAGGTCTTACTTAACAAACTCTCTGATTGATTCCATCATCTCCTTGGCAACATCTTTCTTCTTGGCGCCTAGACAGGACATGAGAATGTGGACGTCATTAAACGCCAGGATGTGATCATCCGTGTGTGGACGACAAGTTTCAAACACATCGTTCCATCTATCACCAACATTCACTCCTAGAGAAAATAATCCAAAATCAATACAAATAAAATGGACACATGATAATATAAATTATAACGAGCAAATTTGCTTGGTGTTCTCCAAGTAGTGCAGTCTGTTTTAATTGTGCCTGATGATCTTGTTTTACTGCTTAAGGTGATCCCATCTTATACCTTACAAATGTGCACAATTAAAACATTGCTGCTATAAATAAGAACAAAAATTGATGAGTATATGATGTAATAATAAAGGACTATGTGTAAGCAGTACTTGACAGCTTGGAGTGTACATTAAGTAACACCTCCCCATTACTTGGCCTTACTATATTTAATGTATACTGCATATTAAGACATCCTGCTGTACTGTGTGTTAGCAGTACCCCACAGCCTGAAATGTGCATTAAGTTACACTTACCTTCCAGTTCCAGGCGATATAACAGGGAGCAGGCATCCACAATGTCCAACATGGCTCCAGATTTCTTACATCTCTCTCCCACCTCTGAGTCAAATATGTCCACAGCACCTGTATGTTCACCCTTGTAATATTAACAATAATAAAAATAATGATAACTTTTTTTGCAACAAAAACTGCATGTAACAGTTGCATGACTAAAAGCTGTTTTCATTCTAAAAATTGAAAGAAATACACCTAAAATAATAAACATATTATTTTTCTCAATCACTTTCCTGATTTTTTCATCACTGTGAGATCCTTCTTCACTGCATTATATTTCTTATCAGATTAACTTTGACAATAATATTCAAACAAAACCATATCACTGACACTGTGACAGTGTGATCATTGTACAGGCTATGGATACCTTTTCAATGTGATAGACAGCCCAGTGCCAGAAATTATGGCAGGCCAACATTCCACAGGTCTGAAAATAAATAAATAAATAAAATTAATATATTAAAGAAACGATACATATTAGTTAAAGGAATAATAACTTTTCATATGGAATCTGCATTTCACAATAAAAAACATTGTAAACAACTCATAAAAAATATAATATAATTACTGTTTTACAACAAAAACGGCAGTTATAGTTATTATTCTGATATCTTAGACTGTCATCAGACCACGTGATCTCTGCAGATGGCTGTACTCTGTAATAATCTCTTTAGAGATTAAAACATAAAACCAAACAAAAACAGGGATTAACTTTGAATGCAGAAACGGATTCGATAACCATTGGTAAGTATGAGAAAATTGTTGTTTACTCTGGGAAAATTCATTTTTTGGCCGAAACGAACAGTTATTATCCCTATATATATATATATAATTGACAGACAAATGATATCTTGTTTCCTATGATAAATAAATACATGTAGGGCCTGTTGGTGAAAAAAATGATCCTATTCTTACCAAAAACAAGGCTGTTCAGTCCCTCATATTTGTACTTTGTACAATCATATTTGTATACAATCATATTTGGAAGAAAAAATCACTTAATTATAACTCCCTATCTTACCGTCCAGTCTCTCACAGTTGTACTGAGACAAAAATATCTTTATCCCATCTCCCTTTCTTACCGTCCAGTCTCTAACAGTTGTACTAAGAAAAGAAATCCCTTCATCCTGTCTTCCCATCATTTCCAGCACATGTGCCAGGGAGTGGGTGGACCAGGCATCCTTTGAGTTGAGTTCCAGTCCCTTCAAATAATGAAACAAGGAAGCAAAGCTGCTAAATGGTCTGATACATAGATGGCAAAACTTACAGATTCGCTATGTGACGTTAAAACTGTCGACAATGATTAACACACGAATGCAGAATTATTTGACTTTTTCTGGTTGAGTATCTTCAAATAATGGCAAAGTACAGGGTTGATGTCTATAAATTGACACTACTTAGAACTACACATATATAATGTTATACTTATTAGGTACAAATAAACAAACAAACAAACCAACAAACAAACACAAAAAGATAAAGCCAGGACTTAAAGCAACATTTGCTTTTCATCAGCATTACACAGAATTGGTGAAAAACCTATTTCAGTGTAGGGATCCACATTCTGGTCAAAAAATGAACTAGCACACAATGAGGGAAGCTTTAGAAGACAAAAATGGAAATTTATGAGAAAAAAAGGTAAATTCCACATTCCCTTTATTATTTTGGTGAATTTTGAATGGTAAAACTTTTTTTTTCTCATAAACTATATCCTATCCACCATTTTGTGTCAAATAGTACTGGGCTATACAAGGCTCAGTCTTCATGTAAACAGGTCACCTTTATGTTTTATTATCTCAGTCTAGGCAAGTGGTTTGTTATTTTTAGCATCACAATTTTATAACATTTTTTTCACTGTTGTCATGTTTTTCCTTTTTTATGAATTATTGTTCCCATGTTTTTTTTTCACTTTTTATAATGTATCATTTTTTTACTATTAATTGCAAGTCAACAATATATTCCCTTTTTTGGTGGTAAATAAAATCTCATCTCGAGTCATTTCATCTCATCTCATCTCATCTCCTCTTACCTTCCTGGACACCTTCTCTACCTCTGAGTAAAGACTGGTTTCCACAAGGCCAAAGGAATGCATGCCAAACAGGTATCTAAAATAGTATTGGAATAACTGGGTTTATTAAGAAATTAGATTTATACCATGGAACAAGAGCCAGCAATTTTAAAGAGGGTTGGGGCCTTTTACAAAAAAAAAAAAAAAAAAAAGAATGGAAAAGATAATAGAACCTAGATTTTTGATTCATAGAGTTTGTAATAAAACAATAATCTAAGTAGAGCACCTTCAACAAAACTGTCTTAGAGCAATGTCACTGTTACGATGTGTTATGTGACTGCATAGTTCATAATTTGTTCTCATATGATATTTATCGATTGGTGGATTCGTTTAGTGGATTCACTTTGTGTCTACATTAGGATGGAGAACCTTACTGCATTGAGCAGTAGGCTTTAGCAAATCAGCTGTGCTGGTACACTGTGAGGTTTTATGGTTTATAAGGTGTATGAAAGGTTTTATAAGAAATCCATGGATTGCAATAACAAGCATTTGCTAATAGGGGATTTTCAAACCCATGGAGTGTACCTTTAACTAAACAGCATGAAAGAAGTAAACTTGTGGAGAGTAGAAAAGGGTGTGTATAAACCCACTGTGGTGTAGATACCTGTGGGAACCTCCCAAAGTGTACCTGTACAGCTCTTACCCTAAACCATACCATTTCTAATGTGAAGAGAGCCTAACACGTACCCATACAAAGGCATGGAGGGTTTCCAGTACGGTAACACCCTGGCTATGGAATCTCTCATATGGGGCTGATAGCCCAGATAGAAGTAGCTATCGTGGGCAAATTTCAGTGCCAACATATCTGTAGGGTGCGCCACCAAGATGTCTTCCCATACATGACAGGCCCCAGTTATGTCTCTGAAATACAGTGAAATAATATATTAATTACATGTTAAAATACTACAGGGTCTAGATGACTAAATATCAGGCATGATTTATATCTTACTACCAACTGAAGGTACTATAACACTGCTAGTGTCTAGATTTTGGTTACTAATAGACAAGTATAATTTCTTCATCAAAGGCATTACGGTTCTGTAATATAAACAATGCCCTTAATGACATACGGTATCTGTATTAATAAAGTATACCATTTGACTTGAAAGCGTACTGGGACATTTAAGTACCTGATGTAAAGAGGGCATCTGTGGCTGAGTCAGTTAATTTTAAAATAACAAAAAGAATAGCCTCATAAAAGAATTAATTATCATGTAGGGGAAGGTCTTTATTTGACTAAATCTTCATTTATTATTATTATCTTAACAGCAGGAGGAAGTATACCTGTACAGACTACCTTTTTGCACATGCCCTCAAATGCCATCTAGTGTGGAGTCAAATTACTCAAACAGTACACTAGATGTCACCACTGTTCTGACCTTACCCCTCAGCCCACACTTGAATAGCTTTAGCATGCTGTTTCTCCCTCTCTGTGATATCCTGCTTTGTGGCCATATCAGCCATTGTATTGATGGCAGCCTTGAAATCTGGGTCAAGGTTGATGGTCCTCCCTGTGCCAATCAGGTCCAACCCGTTAGTCAGGACTTGTCCCATGACTGAATAGAAAAATATGATTGTGAAGGTTTACAAGTCTACACAAACAATCACAGATTCTAGTATCCCTCAAGTTAATATATGCCTTTTTTCTGTTTGTTTGTATCATACTGATAAGATATTACAAAATTGTATTGCACACTGCTCTAAAAATATTTTAACCGAAACCCTTTTTCTAAAAAAAAAATAATAATTATATATAAATAAAAATAATAAATAAATATAAATATTAAATAAAAAAACACTAATTTTAAGTCAGTGTTTGTGTGATGAAGTCTTGTACCAAAGTTAGGGTCAGCAGCAAGCATTGCTTTCATTGAAGTGGCTATGCCTCCTACACTTGCATCATCGTAGACACCAGTGTACTACAAATACACACATATTAAAAACAGTTGGTTTTATTCTTTAAATGTCAGCTAATTAATATAATCATAGTTTAAAAGCAGGAAAGGAGTGATAGATCCCCAAAGATTAACTTATAAAAATCCTAGAGATTTCAACAAAGTTCCTTAAATCACCAACTAAATATACCCTTTTTTTTTAAATAGTCACCAAGCCACGAACTATAAACCAGCTGTCCTACTTTTACAGGAAATGAGACTGGTGAATTTCACCTACTATGATAAAAACAGAAATTTAGAATTTGAAAAAAAAAGGGTTGTAAATTAAATAATATTTTTCCAACAGTTTTGACATTCAAAAGTTGAAATTTCTAGAATTTTTCTTGCTGTAATAATAACAGCCGCCCTAAAAGGACCTACCGAAATCAGGATCTGTTTCCGTCAATTTTTTAGCAGCGGTTTCGATCCCACCAACACTGTCTTCATCATACCAACCAACATACTTCAATAAAATTTTTAAAGTTGACAAAATTAAATAAAATTTGTTATAGATAACAGTTAATCAGTTTTTAATTTTATGATAAACATTTTCCTAGGGTCATAGCAAACTTAAAGGGATAATAACTCTTCGTATGAGATCTATATTTTACAATAAAAACATTGTGAATATCTCATAGAAATATAATATATTCTGTTTTACCACAAAAACAGCAGTTAGAGCTATTATTCTGATATCTGAGCTTGTCTTTAGACCACGTGACCTCCATTGATGGCTATGCTCTGTTAAAATCTCTTAAGAGATTTTAACAAAAAAACAAACTTTTTAGAAAAAAAACAGGGACTTATTTTGAATGTAAAAATGGATTCATTACCCATTGGTTAGTATGGGAAAATTGTTGTTTACTCCAGGAAAATTCATTTTTTTGCCGAAACGAAGAGTTATTATCCCTTTAAATTATAAACCACTTTAAAAGCAATCAATGCTCATTAGAAATCCATATAGTATGAAAATATGCACCCACCGAAAAATACTGAGAAAATTATCTCATACTATTAAACAGTTTCCAAGATCTGAACTTTTTATAATATGTATAATCCAACAAGTGAAATTCACCAGTCTTTGTTTCCATTATTAGAGTATAACTTAACCTATAAAAACTTAACTCAAAACCTAAAAACTTTGAACTCAAAACAGATATGAATGAAAAATGTCCTCATCAAATTTAATTTTTTTTCTATAAAAGGTATATCACTCAATTGTGTCTTTATCAACTTTCTAAAATTCACTTTACATTCCTTTAATCATAAAATAATTACCTGCATTTGTTAAGAGAGAGAGAGAGAGAGAGAGAGAGAGAGAGCGAGAGAGAGAGAAGCCATGGATGAAAAGATAGATGGTTAATTTTGTAACAAATTACATAAGAGAGAGAGAGAGAGAGAATGGAACAAAAGATGGGTGATTAATTTCATAACAATTACCTGAGTAAGAACAGCATCATAGAGTTTACATGCCTCATTGCTGGTGGTGGAGAGAGGCAGGCTCTCCTGGTTCCAGGCCTACAAAGGAATTAATAAACAAATAAATGTGGGCTAAAAAGTTTAAATTAAAACACAAAATAGTTTAATTAAAAATAAATAAATAAATAAATAAGAGAGAGAGAGAAAGAGAAAGAGAGAAAGAGATGTATCTTAAAGTACTTGGGTAAAGTCGGAAAAAACTTTGTGGTCCGTAATATGTTAATTGTACATGTTGCTCTGCGATTACATTACATTGACTGGGGTGAGAATCCCTGCAGAAATAGATCCATTCTTCTGTTAATCTGAACACAGCTTTAGAGTATAAGGAGCCAAATAATAATAATTGATTCATCATAGTTTTTGGGGGTCTTACCTGACAATCTCGCCAGTGACAGTGCATATTCTCCTGTACCCTGGACACCCCTCTTTCAACCGTGGAGCCTGGTTGACCTAGATTCACAAAAAGATGACCTAGTTTTAGTAAGATCGCTTATAATATGCTTAAAACCATGAGGCAAAGTGAACATCTTGACCCAAAACGATATATCTAAACTTCTCAAATGACAGATACTGGCTATTATAGGCCATTTTTATTCATTTTTATGAAATGTGCATGAACTTTGATTTCAATGTTTTTAATGTTTTAGGTGGCTTCACCACATGTGTCGTACCTCCTCGTAGCTCGCCATTGTTTTTTGTTAGGAATGTTTTGGATGTAAAATTTCTTGACCAATTTCAGTCGGGTTAGGAGTAAGTACGTGTTAGAGACCATACGTGCTTTGTTTCGATACTTAGCCAGGTGATTATTTCCTTTTATGCTTTGGTGCAAATATCAAGAAACATGCAATCATGTAAATATTGTTTACACAAATGAATTGAACTGAACATTGTTTTTCTTGACATACAAAAAAACATTGTCAGTGTGTTGTACATGTTGCGATGTAGTAGTAATGTTGATTGTTTCCCCTACAGCTGTGGTAAAATTATGTTAAAAATAGAAAACACGTGGTATGTGCATGTGTCAACAGGTTTCATTTCTTGATCATGTAAATGTTGCTGTCAGACAAAATAATAAATGATTAAGCCCAGTCACAAATAATTAAAGTCCAAGTATTTGCTTTTATACAAGATTAACTATTTCTCTGGTTATTTATCAATCTCAACATATATAAGTGTATGGCAGTTTATTTCAGCTCTTGTATTAAATTTTCACCTCACTGTTCTTGCATTTTTCCAGACACCCTGTTACCACCATGCGACTTCAGAGTTTATACAGAGGGGCGTGTCTCTTAAGGAACACTGCTACACTCAGGGTGCAACCTCAACAGCGATACCTGTCACATGGTGAGGGATTGGTCTCGTCTTAAGAATTGCCCTCTGGTGGACATGTTGTATCTTTTGAGTGCTATCTACTGGTTGTAACTTATTTTCATTTTCACTTTCGCTTTTACAACTAGCCCATTTACTAAGATAAGAAGATTTTGTATTTAATGTTTTTATTATTATATCTGTTGTAATGGTCACATTGGGTCATTTAACTGCCATCTCTGACTATAGCTTCTCTGCAGTTTCACTTGCCCCTTTAATCAACATCTACCCCAGGCTTAGAAAACTTAAACTGACTGGTTAAACAAAAACAAGCAAAAGACATCACAAAACGGAAAAAATGAAAAGGTGTATAGGATTTGAAACTTGTTAACAATACTTATACAGGGAACACTTGCTCTGTGAAAAATATTATTATTAAGAAACAAATTCCTCTGTTCCAGGACTTCTCCAGTACTCTAGGGAAGTGTCACAAGCCTTGCAAAACGACATCCCAGTGGTAGCCTTGGAGAGCACAATCATAACACATGGAATACCATTCCCTCAGAATATACAGTAAGCAATCATAACACATGGGATACCATTCCCTCAGAATATACAGTAAGCTATCATAACACATGGGATACCATTCCCTCAGAATATACAGTAAGCACTATCATAACACATGGAATACCATTCCCTCATAATATACAGTAAGCACTGTTATAACACATGGGATATCATTCCCTCAGAATATACAGTAAGCACTATCATAACACATGGGATACCATTTCCTCAGAATATACAGTAAGCACTATCATAACACATGGGATACCATTCCCTCAGAATATACAGTAAGCACTATCATAACACATGGGATACCATTCCCTCAGAATATACAGTAAGCACTATCATAACACATGGGATACCATTCCCTCAGAATATACAGTAAGCACTATCATAACACATGGGATACCATTCCCTCAGAATATACAGTAAGCACTATCATAACACATGGGATACCATTCCCTCAGAATATACAGTAAGCACTATCATAACACATGGGATACCATTCCCTCAGAATATACAGTAAGCACTATCATAACACATGGGATACCATTCCCTCAGAATATACAGTAAGCACTATCATAACACATGGGATACCATTCCCTCAGAATATACAGTAAGCACTATCATAACACATGGGATACCATTCCCTCAGAATATACAGTAAGCACTATCATAACACATGGGATACCATTCCCTCAGAATATACAGTAAGCACTATCATAACACATGGGATACCATTCCCTCAGAATATACAGTAAGCACTATCATAACACATGGGATACCATTCCCTCAGAATATACAGTAAGCTATCATAACACATGGAATACCATTCCCTCAGAATATACAGTAAGCACTATCATAACACATGGAATACCATTCCCTCAGAATATACAGTAAGCACTGTCATAACACATGGAATACCATTCCCTCAGAATATACAGTAAGCACTGTTATAACACATGGAATACCATTCCCTCAGAATATACAGTAAGCACTATCATAACACATGGAATACCATTCCCTCAGAACATACAGTAAGCACTGTTATAACACATGGGATACCATTCCCTCAGAATATACAGTAAGCACTGTCATAACACATGGAATACCATTCCCTCAGAATATACAGTAAGCACTGTCATAACACATGGAATACCATTCCCTCAGAATATACAGTAAGCACTGTTATAACACGGGGGATACCATTCCCTCAGAATATACAGTAAGCACTGTTATAACACACGGAATACCATTCCCTCAGAATATACAGTAAGCACTTTGATCATAACACATGGGATACCATTCCCTCAGAATATACAGTAAGCTATCATAACACATGGGATACCATTCCATCATAATATACAGTAAGCACTGCCATAACAAGCAGGATAAACAGTAAGCAACAGAGATGATGAATAATGTTGAATTTATAAACAAAGATAGGAAATAGAAAGGGGTGGGGAGGGGTTCAAGGGAGCCCCCCCCCCTCTCTCTCTCTTTGCCCTTCACACCCACAAAGTTACATTCAGGGTGGCTTGATTCCACCTCCATCTTGATTTAACAGATATTAATATTTTGATACTTAGTCTACATTTTACACATATATCATCTGCTAACTTTGATTGCACATAAGAGGGATGCAGGATAAATTTCCTAAATGAATCCCTGCCTCAATTTGAACTAAATGGGTGACTGCATTACTTTGTGCAGATACAGTAATAGCTCAATCATTACAACTAGGAAAAATTATCAATTTTTCAGATACATGATTTTGGAATCATAAGCTAGATAATTTCAATGCAGCACTTTGGTCATTTTACTGTATAGAAGAGAACTATGAGGTTGTATGCTTTTCAATTATGATGTTTCCACTCAATAGGGATGTTCTAATTTTAAGAATTTGTTATTTAAAAAATACAGTATCTGTAAAATTTACAATTTTCCTCTTTCAAATGATTGTCCCATTACCGCAACATTAGTTTATTGCTTTCTCTACAGGATGGCAACAGAAGTGGAGGATGTTATCAGAAATAATGGAGCTGTTCCTGCCACCATGGCCATTATGGAGGGGAAGATACAAGTGGGTGAGTTAACATTATGTTTCTAGTTTTTATAGGGGACACAAGAGATTTTATCTTGGACACTTTGGGACTGAAAAATTTGTTTGATTTACATGATGATTTGAAATAGGCAATGTCCGTATTTTTCAGCTAATATTTAAATAAGAAAAATGCATTCATTCTACAAGATATATTTGCTATTGAACAATTTATTTGAGTCGCAGATAATGAGTTATTATCTAAATCTTCTGTGCACGCTTGGGATGCTGGTCTAAGAATATAAAGTCCAAAGCAAAAATAGTCACTGTTGCCATTAATTAAACATGTACAGCTGCAATTTTCATCTGCATCAAGCATTACCATGAAACTGGGGATGGACAGAGTGTTTGTAAACTATTCCATGTTAACTTAATACTCACCACAGATAACACTGACCATATCTTGATAGAAATGTCTTTGCCATCTCGCTGTATAATGTGCTTACATTTCACTCTTTAGGTCTGGATGGGGATCAGCTTGAAAGTCTGACTAAAGAGGGCACCAGTGCTGTCAAGACATCCCGTAGGGACATGGCTTGGGTTTTAAGTCAGGTAAACCACAGAGCTGTAAAAACTAGGACATTTGGGAGCATAAATAACATCTTTAACCTTAGTAAGATGTGTAAGACCAGTGTCACCTTAGAATGAAATATCATATTGGAACTGCCCTAGTAACCCTCCCACCCCTCCTGGGCCCCTCTCCTTTCTTGCTTTTGTATGCTGAAATTTCATGTAAAGTAAAGAGACATTCCCTCCCTCAAGGTAAAGATAAATTAGTGTGGCAGTCTTTACTTTGTGAGTCGGATCAAGTGCAAATTAATGATCATGACTGTTATTTAGTTTACCCGAACAAAATGAAGAAAAAGATTGTTTGCACAACCTCCATCAGATGAGACTAATTGATGTTATAAGAATTCTTTATACAGGGTACATATTACAGCAGTGTATGAAGGAAAGTTAATTCAGATTGAAAATGCACTGGTGGATTAAAACAAAATATTGTTTTATTAATTTTTAAGATCAATATTATTTATTTATTTATTACTTGTCTTCAGGGTTTCACAGGTGGACTGACAGTGGCTGGCACCATGATAGCTGCCCATAAAGCCGGTATCCAGGTGTTTGTGACTGGAGGCATTGGTGGAGTGCACAGGGGAGCTGAGACATGTGAGGGACAAGACACACACACACACGTACGCACGCACGCACGCACGCACACACACACTCTCTCTGCTGGTATCCAGGTGTTTGTGACAGGGGGCATTGGTGGAGTACACAGGGGAGCTGAGACATGTGAGGGGCAACATATACACGCACACACACATGCGCACATGCAAGCAAGCATGCACACACGCACACACACACAGGCATGCACACATGTACCCACACGCTCACACACACATTAAAAGTTAGCATCCAGGGTAATAGTGTTCACAGAGAAACTTAGATGTGTAAGTCTGGACATTGATTCACTTGCATGCATACACTTTCATTCTCTCTCTTCCTCTCCCTCTATCTCTTTCCTCTCTCTCTTTCACACACACACACACACACACACACACACACACACACACACACACACACACACACCAAAGACACACACACTTTTATTTTCTTCTTTGATCTCTCTCCCTCTCTCCCTCCCCATCCTCTCCATCACACAAACTGCACATTATGTATACATTAACTTTCTGTTTGTGTTTAGACTCTGCTGAAACGAAGAGAAACCATGTAAAATGTTCTGTATATATCCCAGCACTGTGTCTAGAAACTGCTTATAAGTAAGACGTACCATACAGATTACTTATATATCCCAGTCCTGTTTAGAGACTGCTTAAAAAGGAAGTCAAACCCCATAAAATGTACTGTATAGATTGTAGCCCTGTGTCTAAAGTCTACTAAATAGAAGGCAAACCCTGTAATATGTACTGTTTTTATTGTAGCCCTGGACATCAGTGCTGACCTGACGGAGCTTGGCAGGACACCCATCACAGTGGTATCTTCAGGGGTCAAGTCTATACTGGACATTGAGAGAACATTAGAATACTTGGTATGTGAGAATTAGAGCTCACTCCTATTGAAGCTACTGGTCAACATAGATAGATCTAACTCTGTCAGGACTCTCGCTGAATACAACAAGTTAAACAGATTAACAGGCATCCTCTTGTTTTCAGTGTACTCATATATATTTACCAGCTTCTCTGTAATCTACTCAACACCAGGAGGTGTTAATCTGTGATTTTCATTGCATTCAGCAAGAGGCCCAGCAGAGTTGGATCGATCTTTGTAAACTGACAGGTCCAAAGGGATAAGGCTTTAAATTCGATATATGACCTTGGAGTACATGGTACATGGGTCTTGAATATGATTTATGAACTTGGTGTTTTTGGATTATTGCTCTTAAATTGGATCCATGTTTCAATAAATTATAAAATGTTTAGTTAATTTGAGCAAAAGATAGGTTAATATGGTATAATTTGTCAATTTAATTTTAACTTACTTATCCTTTTCGCGCCATGGTCGGCTCATAAGGTCTTCGCCATCTCCCTCTATCTTTTGCTGCTGTGCCAGCTTCGCCCCATGTCTGCCACTTCAATTCTTTTTGCTCAGCTTCGGCGTTTTTTCTCCTTCCCTCAGGTGCCCATGTCAAGGCTAATTTGGAGTTGTTGTTCTATGTTTTTTTACAAGTGGAAAACTGTACATCATAATACAGTTATCTTCTCCATAAATTCATTTTCAAAATTCTAGGAGACTGAAGGTGTTTGTGTGGCTGCCTATGGCCCGAGCACACACTTCCCATCCTTTTTCACCCCGCGGAGTGGTCACCATGCTCCCCACAGTGTGAATTCCCCCGCTGAAGCTGCCAGAATGATATGTAAGTAGTACAGGCGATTCCAGATAGTTCAGGCTGATCACAGACAGAAAACAAGGTGTCAGAAGCCTGAAATCTGACACAAGCATGTATTTTACAGAATCTAATTGATGAACAACTTGTTGTACCTGTATTGATGCACTTTATATGAGAATGTGGTAACTCGCCCCCTTCTTAAATTCCACGGATTTTAACAAGTTCTGGCAAGTTTCTGTACAAGCAAGCCAGTATTGTTCTAAGTTTGTTTAGACATCAAATTATCCACATTGTGTGCTATGAACACTCAGTAATTTTAAACACCCATACTTGTCTTTTAATGTGCCTTTTGTCCCCTCCAGATACCAGCCTGCAGCTACAGCTTGACAGTGGAGTACTGATAGCAGTTCCCATCCCTGAAGATGACTCCGTGTCACATTTAGAGATTGAGCAGGACATTCAGAATGCTATTATAGAGGCAGAGTAAGTATGGAATGTATTGATAGGTGGGCAGTGTTTTTATTTTATTTTTAATAATATTTTTTGCTCCAAACTCAATAATTTTAAGTTAATATGGAGCCTCTGGTGATAATAATTAATGTCATTGTAGAAGGGGAGTAAATTTTGTTTTTAAAGATCTCTGTTGCCAGTTTCCATATTCTTCTGCATTAATTTTCAGGTTATTGTATTTTCTAGTTGGAAGAAAGGGTGAGAGAGAAAGCATGACCTTAGGAAGATAAAGGTGCTGAAAATTTAATAGTGATTCTCCAATTTTGTTTTGTTTTTAGACATAAAAACATCAAGGGGAAAGAAGTGACACCTTACCTGTTAAAGAGGGTACATGAGATGACACAAGGAGACTCCTTAAGAGCCAGTATCCTTGTCACCTTTTTATTGAAATATGAAAAAAAAGGCATCCTGTGTATTGAATATTCTGAGAAAACAGTCTGTACTGAAATTGTCTTAAAGTTTATGTTGAAAAAAAGTGAAACATGCCAGTATCATGTACACATAGATACATGTTGACATATAAATAAATTATAGGTGATATTTTTCTTAATTTTAATTTATTATTTTAATTCATATATGCAGGAAAAATGTTTTCCTTTGTCTCTAACAGAAATGGGAAGTTCATGTTAAAGTGAATCTTATACCCCATTCACACTACGCTCGGTTATCCGGATAAGTTGCGAATTAGGTCACATTTCGAATAAATGCTGTAGTGTGAACGCAAGAGAATTATCAAAGTCCTGCAAGCGAGGTGGATTTCTAAGCACGATTGGAATAACTTACGGGAATCAACACCTGTACAGCAGATCTTACTGCTCATGTGTGCAGATAAGTGCGTGTATCTATGAACGCTTGTTTATTACTTTAGCGATTGCACCAAACGTATTTGGAGGTCACCACTCACTACAACATGAGGAAACATTAACTTATTTTGCCATCTTATACTTCTCAAGAATGCTGGAATGTCTTTTGAGTTGCATTTGTCATCACATATTTTTGTTGGTATTTCAAGATTTCCTGTGCGGCGCATGCGCAAGTTTTCAAAACAGGAAGTTAAACCTGAAATTTTCAACCTGTGATTTGGTTTCGCTTCGCGTATGTGAACGCAATTCCGAATCAAATTCCTCACGAAAAATTCGAATTATAGAAATGCGCATTTTTTCAACTGTAGTGTGAGTGGGGTATTATTTGTGCTCCTTTCCTTTTGTGAACCTGTGAATTTAGGTGGTCCGCTTCAGTCATGCTGAAGATAAACTTAAAAATTTATATATTCTTAGTCTAAGACGTATTTCCTTTACAAGTCTCTCAGATATGGCTCTGATAAGAAACAATGCAGACATTGGCAGCAAAATTGCCATAGAATTAGCAAAACTCCAAAACCAAAGTTCTGGCCACCAGAGGCCAACACAGCAGCCCAGGTCAGCAGGAAGTTTGCATCCAGCACCATCTGGTGGGGAGCAAGGAAGGCCTGTTAGTTGACATGTAGATTAGATTCAGAACTTGATTATATGTAATTTGACCAATCACTAACTAAAACCACAATGCCTTCGCTAATTATTTTTAGAAAAATCATGTTGACTTCATTTAAATGTTACGTTCGATTTAACACCCTTTTAAAGTCGATTTCCCTACTTACTTGATTTCCTTACTTTTATTTAAGTTTGAACAATCTGAATGTTGTTTGTTTTTGTGTTGATTATTTGTTATGGGCAATTGACATGTCAGATTTATGGGGACAGGTTCATGAAAAGTGGATAATCATCATGTTGAAAAAATTGGCAGATGTATTTTAAATTCATAATACAAATAATTTAAATAATACAAATATGCCGGTCATAAGCCATTTTTTTATTTTTCTGTATATTTCTGAGGGTTGATAAGATATGTGCAGCAAGGCATAACTGGACAGGTGATGTAATATGTTTATTGGTGCTTGTTTTGAAATAACCATTGGGAAGAGAATTTGTGATAAGGAAAATGCAAATTTGATATATTTAATGTGTAGAGTGGGAAAAGAGAGACACAGAGATAAGTGATTAAATATAGATGAAATACCACTGAAAAAAAATGTTATTCTATTAAATTAAACCTAAGCGTTTCCATATAGAAATTATAATATGATATTTCTTTGCTTCTATTTATAGTACCTAGTGCCTCAAATGTATTTCAGGTTTTGTATGCATTTTACATCTCAGGTGGGGAAGACAATCTGACTCATACGAACACAGCCAAAATGATTTTTTTTTCTTTTTTGAGAATGCCAAAGGATACCTTGTCTCTTATATCAATCTCATTGCTTTAGATAATAAAGCACTAAATTTAAAATGTTGTGTGCCATAAAGGAATAAATGACTTATACAAGTTATAAGCTAGCTTGATAACGAAAAAAAATGGATTAAGGTAAGATAATTTATGCACTTCTTCTATAATTTGGTTTATGAAATAGTTTTGTTTTCAAGATGATGTTAAGATATTTGTGAAGCGGGATAGAATTTAGTTTTCTTTTCTAGTATAATATTATATTTTCCCCTTTCAAAACCACTTAAAGATTCATTTTGGGGACCGCGATGTGGATATTTTCTTAAGATCATCCGTGATAACTTCTAAATGTTAACAGTTCTGTGTGTAACACATTGTTTCATGTATCAGTTGTGGTTGATTTGTAAAGATAGTAAAGATATGGGTCAAACCTGTCTTAGGCCCCATTCAAAATAGATGAACTGAGTACTAACTGATCAGCCGACTAAATGTGGGCAACCACACTTCTAAAGAAATGCTGATGATTCTCGATGGTCTCCCCAACTCCACACACGTTGTTGCTGCAGGGACCCAGCAGTTAAACCTCGGAGCCGTGATCTAATCCGTTTAATGGCGCATGTGGAGATGGGGAGACCAACTAGAATCACAGACATTTATTTTGATGTGTGGTTACCCATATTTAGTCGGTGAATCAGTTAGTACTGGGATAATCTATTCTGAATAGGGCCTTACTAAAAGAAAGTAAATTAATAAGATTTAAAATATATATTAAATGTTCAAAACATTTTAATGTGGGTAGTGTTTTAACCTTTACATCATGTCATCACAAGCAAGACAATAAAATGAAACTTGGAGGGAAATTGTTAGCAATACTCTTTTACCAAACTACTAATTTAACAAATTTGTTAAGTTGCATAAATAACATATGGTTACTGGTAGGGATTAAGATTTGAAATGAGTGCTATTTTCAGCAAATTTTTAAGTTAAAATTATTAGTATTAAGCTAAATACCAAAATTAATAATTAAGTTGTTAAGTATTAATTTGTTTCTTGTTCAGGGACCTATTTCTTGTACACTATTTTTGAGAGTATATTTAGAAAATGCTTTTTATTTTATTAACATTTGTTACTCATCATATACTTGAGGGAATTAACAATATAATGTTTTTAAGCATGTATGCTATAACTTGAACTACACCCTACTGTCGATTTCTTTATCAAACAATAAAAGATTTTAATCAACTGAAAATGTTTGTACTTTTATGTTATTTCTTTTAAAACTGACTTGAAGTTGACAATAGTCCTGTAATCATACTTGACAGAGAGGTAAAAATGCCTTTCAGTGGCCCGAATAATGTTAAACACAGTATTTATTTAAAAAATGCAATTATGCTCTGCAATTTGGAGTAGCAAGTCGGGTGACAAGTGGGGGGGAGGGGGGGGGGGATAGTGGATACCTGATTTGAGAAGCTTTTGTTGGACAAAATCTGTGAATATTTGGTGCGGGTTCTTTTATTATCCCCAGAAATGTCACAGTAACAGTTATGTCTTGAGGCACAGCCAACTTCAGCATTCACCCTGGTATAAACTGTAATGGAACTTGTCAATAGCAAGTGACTACACATTCGGGGCTAGTCATAAAAGGCCTACAGGGAACAGTAAAATAACACAAAAAGATGGAAGAGTCACAGAATAAGACCTGGATTTGCCAATGAAGTCCCACATGGAACAGTTGGAGGAGGAGAAGCACACGGAAGAAAAGAGATGTGAGGATATGATTCTAGACAGATTGGACAACTGGGTATAACCATAAGGAAGGTAGAAGAAGATAAGAGGCATGGTAGCTGCTGGTTGTAGTGGTTGGATCTGGACACATACATGTACTAATATTGCACTGAATAAACTAACGTGGTGTTGAGAATGTCATCCATCAGTCCTGCACAGTACAGAGAGCAGAACACCTACAAATAACACCAAAAAGTGGAATAGTGCTGAACTTTTTAGTTCTTATCCAAGTACAATGATAGTTATTACTAAAATATATTATTATAGTTATTATTAATATAGTTATTATAATATAGTTATAGTTATTATAAATATACTCAAATCATTGGTGCTATTACACTGGTGCTGGGATTCACATGGCTGGAATTTGCTATTTGCATTTCATATATCATTCCACTTTCAGGTTCATACCAAAGAAATACTTCAAATGCTTGAAATAGGACAGGTTTAAAGAAAAAGGTTCTTCATTTCTTATTTCAGGTCGTTATAGGTGGCACCATTGTAGACTTCACAATCACCGCCACAGACCCCAATCTCAAGGAAGATGGTGGAAGCTACCCTGGTCACATGAGGCAGTCGTTTGGTGGAGTCGGGAGGAATATAGCGGATGGATTAGCTCGCCTTGGCTCCAATCCTTTCTTCATATCGGCCATTGGTACAGATGGGCATGCCGAGTCCATGTTGAACTACTGTAGTCACATGGTAACAATCAGATTTTATTTTTGGGCTTGTTTATTTTTTCCTTCATTTTTCAATCAAGAAAGTCATTGATTCTTTGCTCTCCAATTTGTTGGTTCCTACATTGATTGGCCAGTTTCACAAAAGAGCTATTTTCCAAAAAATGAGTCTTAACATTTATATACAAAAGTTAGTCTGCTTCAGGGTATTAAAGTACTTTAAATTTTGGGCTATAGCTTTTTCTAGGTAAGTGGTCCCATATAATGTTTTGTTTATTCATTTATTTATTTATTAAAATCATTTTCATGCAAAATTTTATGTTAAATTTGTTCTCTCTTTTTCTTCTCTTGGAGAGAGATTGGTCAGTAGTTAATTTTCATTAAAATACAAAAACTTCACAATATTTTAACATTAAATTTTGATACTTATTTAAGGACTGTAGTGGTATAGCGCAGCATGAGACCTACTCCACTGCCACCTATTGTGCAATTCTAAGACACAGCGGTGAGTTGATGTATGGTGTGGGGGACATGGAGATTCATTCCACCATCACACCCAAATACGTGAGTACAGTAACTCTTTAATTATCACTACTGTAAAGTATAAAATGATATCAAATTTAACACATTAAATCTTCATCCAAGAAGAGATTATTTATTACAGCTGGCCAGGCCCTAGTATGTTTATATAGTCTGACTCTTACAATTCCTGGATCATTTTCTACAATTAACCTCTCAACTGCCTCCCTCCATACTGACATTTTGACTCCATATTGACATTTTAGAAGCTGACCACCGTGATTCTTTCTCAGTCATGTATCTAAAATATAGCTATATAAGTGAATACGCACACATTCAAGATACCACGGTAACCCTGTTATTCTGATGAGACATTATTATACAGAATTCAGAAATAAAATTCCACAATCACAAAATTGTGTTAAATATTAATCTAAACATAGATAATGTCATGAAAACTCAGGATTCCATGGTAATATGACACAGTTTTAACTATTTATTATATAATAAATTTTTATTCACAGATTGCCAGATACGAGGCCAAGCTGTGTCAGGCTCCCATAGTCCTCATTGATGGAAATATCCCAGAATCCTCTATGGAATATGTCTGCAATGTCTGTGATAGAAATCAAGTACCAGGTAAATGAAAAAAAAATAATACCCTGCTGTCTTTTATTTGGTTTATTTCTTCATGAAGTATTACTAGTATGGGTGAGGTAAACACTGCCATTCAGAAACTGTAGTGCTGAGCCCCTGTAGATGATGCATTGTACGAGGTGGCAAGATTAACAGAGGCCATAACTTTTTTTAGGGGTAGGCTATACTTATTTTAATTCAAATTTTAATTTGAATATTCAAATAGGATTGGGTTTATGAAATTACAATCTCAGAAGAAAAGAAGTCTGAGTGTGCGTTTGAGAGAGAGTGTGAGAGAGAGAGAGACAGAGAAACTGTGCCTCTACTTAAAAAAAACTGCAACACCATACTTAGTATGTTTACTATTTCTTTATTTACATTTGCTTATAAAATTTTTTTTTCTGGTATGAAATGCTTCTGACAAACTTGACTTCTGTTTGTTAAGTCTTCTCAGTTAAAACAATCGAAAAAACAGGAAACATTTTAGGAGAAGAAAAATATATCAAGGACAAGCAGTATAAGTTGGTAAAAATATGAATATTTCCATAGATATATTGAGTCTACTAGTGTTCTATCTACATATGCTACATATTCCATTCAGATGTGTTGACGAGTAGTCCAACAGTTTTTTCATTCAAAATATGGATAAAAACATAAGTTATGTCTCACAAGGTCATATTCTATTACTAACTATTCTAAAACATTCAGTTTTGCTTTGTTAAACTAATGCCTAAGGGATAAGACATATTTACAAATAATACAAAGGTTCATATACATTTTGCATGTCATTTGTCAATTCCTCTTAAAAAAAGCACCCATGAACATTGTTTTA